AACCATATGGGAAGTTGTTGTTAGAAAATGTTTGGAAAAGGGCAGACATTTTTTTTTAAATACTCTGCAGGTGATTGGAAGAACCATCTGTCCATCACTGTCTATCATGGGTGAACTTCAACCAATCAGATCAATGAACCATATAACTTAGTTAACGTCTTACCAAAGTCAGTTGGGGGAAGCTTTCAGTATGCCACTCATTCTTTCAATGAAGAAATACTCTCCAGTTCTTAAAGGACATCTAGTGTTAAACCACGCCCGTAGCTCATGCCATAGCTGCCATTAGTTCCTCATAGGACACTGATTGATCTGAACCACTGTGGTTTAGAACCAAGCGCATAACTAGAAGCCTGGCAAGATGCATTCTTGCATTATATTGTGATTTCATCATGTTCTGCTGCCTTGCAAGGTAATGACTTGTCCTGTCTGGACCTGACCGGCTAGAGGTCTCGTTGGAGGGGATAAGGGACAAAAGTGACCTTACAGTCAGTACAATAAACTAAAACTATGATAACTAAAAGTGGCTAATACAAAAGTGATGATCAATGTGTCAGTCTGTCATAGGCTTGAAATCTGACTGGCCACCCCAAGTGCCAACCCATTATCCTTACCTCTGCCATTCTACACACTTTAAGAGGCTGTAATAGGCTCTGGTATCATATGAAACTACATAACATTATGCATCCATTGGTGCTAGCATGTTGGAAGGGGGCTGAATAACACTACAAAGTCATGCTACATTTTTGGATCCCTCAGACTCCCCTTTGCAGACATGCCCACTTTATGCTAATCCCATGCAGTTTTGTGATAATTACTGGGATCCCTAAACAGTACTGGAATTGCATAAATTGACTGGATAGCTGAGACACATACTTCATGCCACTGTTGCATAAGTCAGTGCCCCACTTGTGCCACCCCAGTCAAAAAAGTCTGGTCCCAAGCCTTCACCTAGAACCCACTCACACAGACAGAAATCAATGGTTCATAGTCATCTTGTAATGAATTGCTATGTTCAGGAATTCCATCTGTATCTTTAGATACAGAAAATCTACATTTGAGGCCTAAACCAGGAATAAAAGATGAATTTCTAAAATGATTATTTTGCCCTTCCCCTCGCAACACTTCCAAATCCAACTCCCCCACTTAGGATTATACATTCTCACACACACACACACACACACACACACTCACAGAAAGACAGCATTGTTCCCACTGTGAGAAGTCATTAGCACCTGGGCTTTGGGCTCCTGGAGGTCTGGCTACTGTGACCATTAGGTGCTGGTGGAGCTCCACAGGATGAGGTGTCAGGAGTCACACATCCCCACTGTCCCAACCGGCCTGGGATGCAAGGGTAACACTGTGGGGGCTGTATGTGCTAGTCGACGAGCGGGGGAGGGTGTGTGTTCTGAGTGTCTGAGAGAGACACAAAGACAATGTGGGATTGTGAGTGGCAGGAAGGACAATAAAGCACTGAGCTGAGTGCTACACGAGGTCTCTCTCACCAGGTCAAAGGTGATTTATCATCTGCTCACCCGTAGAGAAAAAACAGCTCGCTCTTCACGCTGACTCCTTTCAATTCAAATAGCTGTTAAAAGGACGAATATTTACTCTGCCAAAACATCAGTCAGACAACAACAGAACAGTTGCAGTTGTCCATCAGCTTTCTGCTACTCTGTAGAAGCACTAAAGGAAAAAACTGACAGAACAATAATAATCTCCAGTGTTGGCTTACTGTAAATAGCATACATTCGACTGTTGGTATTATTTTGTGTCAGTACAGTTCATGTTTTGTTAGCTACAGTTGGATCGGAGCCATGAGCGGCTCACACGGCGATGAAGCGATCAGTCAGTAAAATAAAGATTCAAAAGCGCCTGTTAAGCACATTCTGTAGAAAAGAAATATAGCTTTACAGGTCACTGTATTTAACCGCTGAGTTTATGTGTGCTGAATATGTCTTGCTCTCCTCGTGAATGCTTTACATCTTTTAACTCTGGCAGTTGTTTAATGGATCAAAGAGAGGGCCCCCCAGGGAAGAGAGGTATCACTCTTTCATCTTTTATCACCCTCTCTTCCTTCTGCCTGTGATGCTCAAAACAGATATGGGACTAGGGATGGAAACTTAAGCATTAATTATTGAATTTCAAAGAGTAAACTCTCTCTTAGTCTCTCTGCTCTTCTTCTGTTATTTTCTGCAGTATGTAGGCTAATTAAATGTGGAGGGAAGCAGCGGTATACATGTTGTTGTCATCATGCAAACAACATGACAGCTGCACAGAGACCCGGTTCCCGAGTGAGTCAGTGGCATTCAAAACAAGCTTTATGAATGCTGTTGTTTCTGGCCACTTTTACTGTTTAATTGACTCAAACACACGTTTTATTATACTATTATACATTACACACAGAATGGCTTTTAAGCAAAGGGTTGGTGCGAGTTTGTATGCGGCTGCATCGGTCAGTGTACTTTACGGCCAACAGATGAGCTATTTCCCAAACACTATTCAGAATGACAGGAAAACAAAACAGGTCTTTTTTTCTTCTTTTTTCCAGAAAATGGGTTGTTTCCCGATTTTGGTTTTCTCATTTCAAAACGAAAATCTGTTGACACTTTGCATAGACGTTCGCTTTGAGACACTTGAGAACATTAAACACACAGTGTTTGTTTGCACACACACACACACCTCAGCCTTGGGCTACAGCAAAGACAACTGGCCACAGAACTGAGGCAATAAGCAGCACTATATACTCACTAACAGTGATTCACCTCGGGGCTACAGTATCTGTCTGCAGAGGCTGTGTGCATGCTGCTGCTGTTGGTTCTCTCAGGTCTGTCTGAATGAGTGGTCAGAAGGTTGGCAACAGCAAAGACTGCTGGGAAAGCAGGGAAACATCAAAGGCTGTGTTTCCCCGACAACTTCTGATATTTGTGGATGGGGGATTTGGGGCTGAGGGTGCTTAATGTTTGTATTCAGAGGATAAGGGCGGTGATTGTTGATGTTATCAACAAATCTCATGAAAAGACCAAAAATAACAACTGTTGGTTTGTCTCTCAGTTGCCTAAAGACATATATTTCAGAAGAGACTGGCTCAGAATAAACAGTGCCCATGGTAATCAGAGTGAAGGGAAATCAGCCAGGGAGATGGTGAAGCTCATTAATGTGTTTTAATCATATTTAGCCATGCTAGTGGCATGGCTCTATGAATGGCAATGTCTGTCTTTCTTCTGGCCGGTCCACCACTTCAATCCAGACTGAACAACAACTTTAAGCAAATACATTTTGTATAGACATTAATAGTCCCCAGGGCCCAGTATTTCAAAACCTCTAATAAAGATCTCTAGGATTAAATCCCAAAATTGGGTGTTTCTAAGCAGATGTGGTCCTGATCCTACAAAATTTGGATATAGATTTGATTATCCAATCCAAATTCAGATCAAATGTTGTTTTGCTGCTAAAAATCAGGATGATCGTAATCCTACTGGAAGACTGGCTCCAACATGGATCCAAGGTGGATGTAAAGGCAGAGGTGATTATAGTTGACTAAAACTAAAGTAAAAACTAAACCTACGTGTGAAAAACATTTTAGTTAACTGAAATAACTGAAATGATATTGTGTACTTACATAACTAACTGAAAGAAAATAAAATATACAGGAAACATCTTTAGCTTTTGTCAATTTGGTCAAATTTGTCAACACAACAAGCATGAGGAGGTGTTGTCTGTTTACTGAGACTGATGTCACTGAGGTGTTTGTACTGTAATACCTATTCTGAACATCTTAAATCTTGCTCCTGACAAATACTGCCCATTAAAATAGAATAACTAAAACAAACACTGAAACTAATATAAATTCAACATTTTTAAACAATAATGCAGATCAGTGAATATTAATACAGCACAATCAGAACCCTAGAAAACATAACGTATAATTTAGAACATTTCTAACATTGTAATATTTAAACATATCTAAAATAAAGAATTATGGAAATAGACGTTAACAATATTGAACACACAGAACATATTTCCCAAACATTTTCGACCATCTAATACATCCCTCACATGAAGATTCATACAAATATTTTCGAGGCTATCCCAAAAGACTGCAAATCTAGATTTTGCAATCCCTGATCTGGTGTATCTGGATCCAGATGATTCATCTGAAATTCTTTGAAAAAACCAGGAGATACAAACCATAAAAGGGAAGTGGACATTTCTGTACAATTTCAGGCCATCGCCACAAGGTGGCGCTCTTTAAAATGAAGAAGTTTATATCTCTGCATCGGCACGTGTGATTAAAATGAAACTTGGTACGATGCTTGCCCATGGCTCCCTGAGGCTCGCTAAAAAATGTGTCAACAATCCGCCACTAGGTGGCGCTCTGGTGGCATGGTAAATCACTGTGTGGAGACCGTAATAGTTATGAATATGAAATTCACAGGGCACGTGTAGACTGGTGCCTGTAGCTCACATACCAAAAATCCCTACAGTTTTTGTATTTGAACAAACTCCTCCTAGGGAATTTATTGGATCTAATCCCCCAATCCTAGGCTACACAGACCTAAATGAACTGTTGTCTTGCACATGGGCAATTTACAGGCAGGACTTGGAGCAGTGTTGCATCAGTGCTGTCATGGCAAGCTGGAGGTAATAGCCTATGGGTCCAGAACACTCACCCCAGAGAGAAATTATCACCTGCATTCTATAAGTGCTTCAGAGACTCTTTCATGCCCCCTCTTTAGCGGTTTATACAAATAATCCACTTACAAATATACTGACAACAGCCAAGTTAAATGCTCTAGGACAGAGATGGGTACCTGAGTTAGCAGATTTCATTTTCACTATAAAGTACAGGCCAGGAAAGTCAAATGCAGATGCAAACGGCAAGAATGCCAGTTGATAATGAGAGCTTACATAAGGTAGTGCACACAGTCAGTCTGTCATGAAGTAGTCAAGACAGAACAGAGCATTGTAGTGCAACAAGAAGAACTATGCCCACTCTTGACTTCAGTCTCATTTAATACTCTTCAGGAACAGATGGAAGCTGAGAATCTACTGAACAGAGCTCAGCAATCATCTAGGGACAAGATTAAAAACAGAGAAGCAAGTGAAACAAGAAGACCAAATGATAGGCAAAATATAACACCACAAAATGAGAAATAAGTTTAAAGCTCTAGTCAGGGAGTGGGCTAGGCTGGAGATCAGGGCAGATGGCACCATGCACCGGAAGACTCGAATGGAAAATCAGCTTGTGCTTCCAGAGGTGTGCTGTCCACTTATCTCATTTTAAATGAGCTTCACAAGGAAATGGGACACAGAATGTTGAAACATTGAAGCTGATAAGGGACCATTTCTTTTGGCCCAAAATGAAAAAAACAAACAGACAGACACGTGTACCAATGTTGAGCATTGAAACCACTCACCCATTCCAGTTAGTCTAAGTCAAATTCCTGCATCTAGAAGAACGTATAGGCGGTTCTGAGTATATACTGGTAGTAATGGACCATTATACACGGTTTGCTTAAGCATATGCAACTACCAACAAATCAGCCAAAACCGTGGCAGACAAACTGTTCAATGATTTCTGTCTCAAGTTTGGTTTCCCACAAAACTGCATCATCAGGGAAAACATTTAAGAACAAGCTGATGCCCCACCTAAAATCACTCTCTGGTGTCCAGGGGTCTCGCACTAGTCCCTATCACCCCCAAGGGAATGGAGAAACAGAACATTTTAACAGAATGCTGCTCTCAATGTTAAGAACACTCACTGAAGAACAGAAAGGTGGAAAAATCACCTCCCCAAGATTTGTACACGCCTATACCTGCACATAGGCGTGTACTCTCTATTCTTTCTGGGTAGGTTTACACACCTGTGACTTGCTGATCGTAATTAGTGTCTGTGTATCAATAGCCAATGAGTTTCTAGCTCTTAAGATATTCCTGCACATTTCATGTAAGGCTGCATTGAATTTGCTGGATACTGAGCCATGGGGGAAGCAGTTGAAAGCAACTGTTAAAGGACCTCAGAGAAAAGGTAGTTGAACTTTATAAATCTGGAAAAGGATATAAACAGATTTGAAAATGCTAATCAGTAGTGTTCAAACTCTGAAAATTAGGGGTTTTGTTGACACCAAGATACTATATGCTTCCCTGAGGCAACATTATCAGAAATGACTCCATTAACTTTCACTGTTAGGCAGATGATACCCAGTTATATCTATCGATCAAGCCTGATGAAATTAATCAATTATCTAAATTACAAGCATGCCTTAAAGACATAAAAACCTGGATGACCTGCAATTTTCTGATGTTAAACTCAGACAAAGCAAACCTCTAGGGCTGCCCTTTTCATTTACGTAACATTGCAAAAGTCTGACAAATCATATCACAGACACATGCATAAAAAAGCTAGTCCATGCATTTGTTACTTCTGGTTAATATATTCCTCTCCAAAAGTAGAACAGGACCACCAAGCTCCTCTCCTGTGAAACCAGCTTCCAGTTTGGGTTCGGGAGGCAGACACCCTCTTAGGTGAGTCCTGAACCATTCCTTAGTTATGCTGCTATAGGCCTAAACTGCCGGGGGACTTCCCATAATGCACTGAGCTCCTCTCTTCCTCTCCCTCTCTTTCTGCACACATTCATGTCCCATTAATGCATATTAACTTTTATATTAAATATTATATTAAATTTCTGCCCCGGAGTTTTTGTGCTTTCTCGTCTCGCAGGTTCTCATGGATCCTGGTGGTGCACTGTTTGTTAATATTACTGATATTTATATATATATATATACTTATTATTACTATTATTATTGTTAAAATTATTACTATTATTATTATTCATCATCCCCCATTGTTGTGGCTATTGTTGTTGTCGTCATCTTTATCATAGTTATTGCTGTGCACCTTTGTCTGTCGCTGCCGTTCTCTCTTTACCCCTCTACCCCTCTCCCCCCCTCTCTCACTCTATAATTTTTGTTATGAATTGGCGCTATACAAATAACATTTTATTGAATTTGAATTAGAGGTGGCGAAAGAGGATGGCTGGGGCATATGACATCACCTCCATAGTCTATGCTGCAAATGGGCAGTCATGTCCTGGTGAGAAATGTGGCAGAGAGAGAACCAGGAATAATCCGCTCCTACTGGGAAGATAATACCAAGAGTAAGAAAGGTGAGGACAGTCAGGTGTTTGAGGTGGAGCCAAACAGTGGCAGAGGCAGGACCAGGGTACTCCACAGAAATATGCTGTTACAATGTGACTTTCTTCCAGTCACTTCTGATGTCAGAAAAAACTCCCACCACAACCCGGGCAAAAAAAAGAAACAGACAATCAGCTACCATTGAACACACACTGCAAACCGATGATGACTTTCCTGGTGTGACATTCATCTGGCCTCATGCTGAATGCCAAAGTTCACATTTTTCAAGATTCATGTTTAAGAATACTGTTCATGTTTTTTATAGTGTATGAGACCCCACAACTTATTTATTTTTTTATTTAATTTGGATTTCAATATTTCATTTAATTTGTATATGAAGGCAGGGCTTATATTTATAATTCATTTGAAAGCCTT